TCAAGATCATCATCATCATCATGATCATTGTTTACATGTCTTTATAACTTCTCCCTTTCTCAATACAGTAACTATTTTAATCTATCATAAGACTTGAAGACAGACCACCTTATTCGTCTTCGTGACGAATTAAATTTCTAGTTTGTAAATGAGTTTGAACTTGTGAAATTATGTATTCAGTAATCAACGAGTTGAATGCCACATCTGCTCGCAATCACACTTCCACGGCGGCCAAACAAAGACGAAGTATTGACAGGAACATAGACAAAATATTAACACAACAAATTGGCTTCTAATACTTGAATAACAGGATGACACTGCAAAGTTGTTTTCCACCTAACTCCCTGAAGGGTTCTTTATCAATTGTGACAAATAGATTCAGCACATCGGTTTGTCCTTAGGTGTAATTGAGTTTTGGGGACATGGACCCGCTTGATGAAATTACGTGACTCACTTTTCTATCTCCAAGCTACACTTCTTGAACCCTGTCTGGACACAGGGTATTAGAAGTGTGAAGAGGTTTGCGATAGGAACGTGGTGTCAATTTCATGCGGCTTCAAAACATCCTTCCCATTTCCACAATGACACACCAAGGTACAAACGCTACAAATTTGAAGTGAATCTTGTCCAAATAATCACTTTCCAGCATTCCTGGCCGGGAAACAAAGATTTATGACTAAAATCTTCAATGGATTATTATCTTTCTCTCTTGAATAAAAGTAGATCATTGGAGCATAGAGAGTGGATCACCAGCAAGGTGAATGAAGGAAAAACAGACACCTCAGGCAGCATAAAAAACAAGTCTGTGTTACAGAGGACAATTCTAATAATGAAGTTGGTTCATACCAGTATAAATGGATGGCTGGTGATCCTACAATGTACATTCTCTCCGGCAACAATTGCCCGGGCTTTAATATGTCAAAACTATATCTAGGTGTATGGTTGCAGTTGAAGTTAGGAATTCTGTTGGGAAGGGAAATGACCGCAGAGCACTTGTTACAGGAACATGTGTCGTACCATCGGATGGCCAGAAAGACAGTAGACGAGAATCTTTGGCACCTCCTATACCTAGACAGGACAATGCACAAAACTGAGGGATCAGAGACACAGCTTAATCCTGCACAACTGGGCATGGGGAAGAAAAGGAACTTAGGAACGTGATGCTTCTGGCACCTCCTGTAGGTGACAAGGCACAAAACAAATCCTGGACAAGGACAAAAGCTAATCCACGACTTGGATGGATAACTAGGGAATGAACTATGAAGAGATATCTTACAAACATAACATCTTTGGTAACTCATTTACAAGACAAGGCTCAAAAACAAAGTTCCAGACAAGGACATGGCCTAATTGTGAACTTGATTCGTCCTCAAAGACATATTGACCGAGTGGTCAAGAGATTTAGGTTCTGTCAACTCTCATTAGCCATTCTGAGTCACAACTCTGCTGAAATTGTTAATGCAATACTAAAAGTTCTGCTAAGAAAATTTAAGAAATTGAATTGTCAATTTTGATTAGGAGCCCAACACCATGTGACTTGACGGCTATAATCCTTTGAACAACATACTATCACCAGATTATTACTAGATTTGGAGTGAAATGGTAATTGAGGTCAGTTGTGACAGCATCCAAACGACCAATCTTCCTGATTGATGTCACAACAATATTCAAAGGGATTGCACATTGTAATTGTAGGACGTTGCCCTCCGCCTAATCAGAGATAAAACCAAAGTTGGTGGAGAGTCTGCATTGGATTACCCTAGTATAATGGTCGGCCAAATGACTTTATAAGCTTGGTTCTTTCTGACCAAAATAAGTGGGTGATATCTTGCTGTCACAACTTCACACTAAGTCAAGAATTAAGTCCAGAATCTGACCGATTATATTTGAACAACGGGTGTACAAAGTTGGGCTCATCTTTGGCTACGAGCGGGTAGGGGGATCGCATTATAGGGAGATTGGTTTTTACAATAAAATGAGCCAAATCTGGAGACTCCTTTCACTTTCAAACAGTCTCAAAGAATCTTGATTTAAAATGAAAGATCACAATGTCTTCCTACATTGCAAACATCACATTGCATGATTTCAATCTGGATGACATCATAATGTGCAAAAGTGGGGCTGGTTTTGAATGCCAAGTTTTCTAGCTTGCAGGACAATGCTACCTCAGTGCGGCTACTCCACCACATCAACCAGCCAAGCCAAGCCAGCCAAGCCAGCTCATCACACCTTGACTTTGGTGGCTCGCGCATCCAGGGATGAATCTTCCGAGGACGATGATGATGCGTTTAGCAGCTCTCTAACCTCTCATTCCTACTGGCTACTGATTCAATTGGATAGGCAATCAGTGGGCAGGGGATGACAAATCGGTGCAGAGGTACGGGGCATCCCCTTGATCACTTGCCAAATCTAATTTGACAAATGAGACTTTTGTCTGGCACATCCATACCAACCACAAACTGTTCTGTATGTGTTGGAGTATGGACGTGAAAGCTCTCTGGCTAAAGAGGTTTTCTCTAATATATGCTGTTTCAATGAAATAACTACATTAATGATTCTATATGAAATCTGCTGAAATCTTATTAAGGCTCAAAGAGTTTCCTTGACCATTAATATAATTTGAAACTGTCGAAAGTAGCCATAATAAATATATTTGTAATAGTGGAATGTTGGTACTAATATTTTACCCATTCCTTATATTAGATTCTGTCAGCTTTGTATTAGAGAGATATACAAATGTGCTTGGCATTTGAGTAAAAATGCATACTTTAATGATTCAAAAGAGATAAAAATTGATTTTCCCATGACAAGAACAAGACTTTTCAGAGGGAAAAGAGGTAACATAGAGAGGGAGATGATAGGAAAAGAGTTCAATTTGGGTGGATAGAGTGAGAGTTTGAGAGGGGAAGAGAGGGGCAATGCAATAAAAATGACAGGAGTCAACTTCAATCATGTAAGGCCAGACAAACATGAATTAGGACTGAACAACAACTTTGAAGTCCATCTGTTTCCCATTCAAAAACCTCAATGTCTACACGCCCCTCGATCATTACCACACCTAAGTACATACCTAGTAATCATAACTTGTTCTTAATGGAAATGAAATTATTGACTAGAGAATGACGAATCATTAGACCGGTCCTACACCAGTCCAGGGTATCCCCTCCATCAGTCCCCAAATCAAACCTGACAAATTACAGTCTGCTACAGCCACCGCGTTTGAAAGCTTATATCGTCGGTCTGCTACAGCCAATTTAGGTGACTCAAGTTTGATTGGGGGAGCCATTGCATTGTTTTTCTCTGGTTTACAAGTATGTAGGCCATAGTCATTATTTGAAGATTTGGAGGCATGGCATGTGATGATGTACGTTTTCAGTTTTCCAAATTGTTTTCTCATGGTTTATACATGCTAGTTCACACAAAACTCTTGGCATAATGAACTATATCCAGTGTCCAATTAAGATAGATTGGGAGACTTGTAGATCTACATCTATAAGGATTACTAACCTTGGAAAAAGTCTTCATATATATATATATATATATATATATATATATATATACTAACAAATTTCCAGGAAATACGTCTATTTGTAGTTCTGCCTAAATTTTGACCTCAATAACTTAAGCTTACCAGGTCTTGAATACACCAGGGCCCAGTTTCACAAAATATGTTACCATTATTAACAAGTCACAATAACGGTTATAAGCTACTGAAATAGTGGCATTTGATTGGCTGAGAGCAGATTTGTCATAGAAATTTAGCATTTGTTATTGATAATAAGTTTTAAGAAACAGGGACCTGATTCTGTCAAGGAACAGACAAGTGTCTCTCCTAAATAGGCAAATGCCTTCACCACTTAAAAGCCCTATTCAAGAGCCCTTAAAGGTACTATGTCCCATTTGCAGGCCCAAAAAATGAAAAAGTTAAATTCCAACTGCATTTGTAAGATAATACTAATTTAGAACTTCCCTAAAAAAGGTGGGGCTTGAAAATGTCTTCAAGTGGGAAAATAACGACTATTAGTTGTCAAATCGACTTTAGGGCTATAGAGCCCAAAAGTAATAGTCTTGATTTTCAGACAATTGTACCGAATGGTCATACGTTTTATGCTGCGCAAAGATTCAATCGGTTTAATCTTGGCCATCACAAGAAGTGGGTTATTGATGTAGACAAATGCTCATGTACCCTTTACAACTCTTTTCATGTATGTTATTACCAAAGAAGAAAAAAGCCAGTCAGTCACTCAATAGTGTCTGACAGTGAAGTCTAGCAAGTAAACGGGTTTCCTTGCATAATTTGAATATGAGGACACTGCTAACGTTTAAATTTCACAGATAGGACATACATGACATATTCATAATTCCTGCAAAGTTCTACAGAATTTGAGGTTGGCTGCAAAAGGGACATAGTACCTTTAAGAGATTGATTGGTTAAATAAGATAATTGTGACTTAACAAGAACAATTACAGGTAATGAGGAAACAAGGGTACAACAATGGGGGATTACTGATTGCTGCATGAATTTGAATGTCTCCTTGATAAATTACTGCTAAATATAAGTGATTGTGTCCTCCAAGATGAAGAGGGTAAATGAGTTATATCCGATTGCTGCACTATTACATAATGGCAATGAGTGAGTTCTTTCAACAAGTATTTCTTTCAACAAGGATGTGACACAGATAGAATCAGTCATGTTTTATAAGTTCTTAATTATTCAATAATCCTTTCTTCCTTTTTCACTTAACATTCACCATCATCCTCATCATGATCACCAACATCATGATCACCACTATTATCACCATATGCAACGACGGCAGAATACATACCTTTTAAGACAATTAGGTACCGTAATATCCCCACTATAACCCCCATCCCAAAGAAGAATGAACAGACATATATATTTTTAAATATTCAGTTACAAAGTTACGAGAAAGGAAAGAACTAGTAACTGACATGCCCCTAGTACTGCATCACCCATAGGAAAGAGAACGCAAACAAACCTTTCCAAGATTGAAGGAGCAGAGTCTAGCTTTAGGTCCAAACTGCCACTGACACTGCTGATCAGCGCTGTACAGCTCTCCAGGTAGACTCGGAGGGAACTGGTACTCCGCTATCCCTATCGGCTCATCCCATGTGCATGCTGCTCGATCCGTCCTGTCAATCAGATCAAAACAATGATATATTGATAAAAAAACAATGATATTTTGATAAAACAAGATGTGACACGTTCCTCCATTCCCTGTGGAGCGCATGCTATGATTCATGTTGTAATTCTAATTCTTGATTGTTTTCATGTTTGGCTCTGTTGAGATGTATCACTAGAGTTAAAGGAAAAAAAGATGTGTAATATCATTCATTAGCTTCCAAATGAAAAATAGGAGAGTAAAAAGAGACCACATAAGAAAGAGGAGATCAAGAGATTCACTGCAAAAACAAAATATATAAAGGTTCAATAAAGAGAAAGAGAAAGACAGCAAGATAGGAAGATAGTTTATATAAATGTAAAATATGTGGACAAAAATAAATAAAACAGAATGAAAAGATAGATATGTGTGGGAGAAAAGATGTATAAATGAGAGATAGTGAGAGAGAGAGAGAGAGAGAGAAAGAGGGGGGGGGGGGGGAGATCAATTTGTAGGGGTGCATTGGTTATGCTTAACTATTTCAATGAACAGGAGGTAGAATGAAGAAATGAAAGGTTTCACTGCATGACCTATATATATCTATGTAATATACATACAATATTTTGCAACAGAGTGTTAAAGAAACTGGGAGAAAACAACAAAAAAATGGGGGAGAGACAGAACATGAGAGTATTAGTGAGAAAGGGAGAAAGAGAAATAAGAGAATGTTTACTATGACCTACATTTGAGCCAAGCTCTATTAAAATGTGATTCTTTCTCCCCATTGCCACGCTGTGACCATCACAGGATGAGCTGGGGGCAAAGTCTGGCGATCTCTCTTCCCGCTTCATCTCCTCCACAGATTATATTCATGCAACTCATGCCAAAGATCTACCTTATTTGAACTTGGTAAATAGACAACAGCTGAGTCAGGGTGCAACCAGACCCACAATAATATGTTCAGATCATATTGAATTGATCAGAGAGTTTCGGTAATCATAATTTTGCAAAAAGATAAGATAAACAGGGTGTATTGATATATGTGATTGATGATTGTGAACAACAAAAAGTGAATTGAGACAAAAAGCTGGAAATAGAAAGGAAGAGATGAAAGAGAGTGAGAGAGAAAGATACAGAGAGAGAGAGACAGAGACAGAGAGAGATACAGACAGACAGACAGATAGCGAGAGAGAAAGAAATAATGATGATAAAAATTGAACCCTTTTTGTACCAGTAGAAGCAAATCTCACTGATGAATTGAAGTGTTAGACAATGTATTTGATCTATAAAGAAAGGCCAGAGTTTATTCAATCCTATAACAATATGACATTCCTTCATCATGAAGTTTACACCTATAAAATATATCTTATGCCAAATCTATCAATTAAACATAGCGCCACAAACAAATCACAGGGTTCCACAAAGGGATTTAAGGGTTTAAAACCCAAAGTCTCCTACAGGTTTTAGCTATGCCTCTACAATGATGTCAAATCTAGATCATAAAACAAGAAGTACAGCTAATTTCCTTTCACACCATCCTCACTCCATCAGTGATGAGTCCAAATTGCAATTTCCATCTATTCCTATCACATTTCAAGCTTTAAAGGCCCACTGTCCTACTTGTAGCTACTTGCTCCCTCCATGTAGAAAACAATGCCTAATCGGTGACCATTGGTTCCCCATGATCCTTTTTTTCTTATGTTAATTGAGAGCTGAGTTGATGAGAGAGCCACCTGTCAGTGACCTTCTTGGGTGGTCTAATCCCTCCTAGTCAAACTAGTACAGACGGCCTTTAAAGACCGTCAATACTACTAGGCCAGAAGGGATTAGACCACACAGCGAGGTCACTGACAGGTGGCTATCTCATCAACTCAGCTCTCAATTAACATAAGAAAAAGAGGATCATGGGAGACCAATGGTCACCGATTTAAGATGTGTCCTATATAGAGGGTGCAAGTTGCTACAAGTAGGACAGTGGGGCTTTAAAATATGCGTGATTCATCCACCGAGAGGTCAGTCCTACGCCAGGCAACCCCTGACCGTGCCCAAGTTGTCTATTGTTTGGTATACCTTAGAAAGTCATCTAGGCTCTTCCTTAATTCCTTTCACACCATCCTCACCCCATCGATGGTGAGTCCAAGTTGCAATTTCCATCTTTTCTTATCACATTTCATCAAGCTTTAAAAAAAATACTCATGATTCATCCACTAAGAGGTCAGTCCTAAACACCGGGCAACCCCTGACCTTGCCAAAATTGTTTATTGTTTGGTAGCTTAGAAAGTCATTGAGACTCTTCATAAAACAAGATCTACAGATAATTTCCTATCACACCGTCCTCACCCCATCAGTGATGAGTCCAAGTTGCAATTTCCATCTATTCCTATAAAAAATACTCATGATTCATCGACCAAGAGGTCAGTTCCTACACCGGGCGGGCAACCCCTGACCGTGCCCAAGTTGTCTATTGTTTGGTATACCTTAGAAAGTCATCGAGGCTCTTCCTGCTGCAGGCTGACCATGTGAACCTGCCGCTGTGACCGGAGAGGGTGGGGGACATGATGTCTCCTCCAGACTTCCTGCAGGCATTGCCGTCACCGTCGTGCACCATCCCAAAACTGAGAGGAAGAGAGAGAGAGAGAGAGAGATGGAGGTTTAATAATTGTCAGTGCTTATTGAGATATTGTTATATCAAGGAAAGGCAGAGTTGGTGTAGGTAATGAGAAAGAGATATGAGGACGACCACTGAAATATAAGGAAAGTAAGGGAAGAGAGAGAGAGAGAGAGATGGGAGCGGAAAGAGAGAGAGGAGAGAAGAGAGAGGAGAGAAGAGAGAGGAGGGAGCGGAAAGAGAGAGAGAGAGAGAGAGAGAGAGAGAGAGAGAGAGAGGAGGGAGAGGAAAGAGTCATCAGGAGATGCAGAAAATACATAAAAATCATTTTAAATACTTTAATAACTGACAAGAAAATACAACAAATTTGGAATTTGGACATAAACCAGGACGAACTGTCAAACCACTTATTCTGGCATGCCATCAAAAGTTCATTTAGTTAGTTCAAGTATGGTTCAAGTATACAGAGAGTGGAAAAGTTGGGAATGTGGAAAAATTGGGAAAGTGAAGGTTAAAAAGGTGATCACACTAACAATCAAAATAGGGGTATAAATGTTGAATGCAAGAGTACTAATCAACATTTCATTCCCATCAGCCTTTGGTTGGAAAAGCAATTTAGAAGAAAAAAAACAGTTAAAATAAAAGTGGTAGAATTTATTGAAAAATACTCTGAAATGTTGTTAGCAAACATTGTTCAACACCAGGCCATCTTCATTTTTTGTCTTAATATTTAACAATAGAATGAGATCAAATTACAGTTAAATAAAGATTTAATGAACATATATTTCATTTGTGCCCCACATACAGCACATGACAACAGTATGAGATATGTAAACGAAACAAAATTGATTTTAGTTTGACGAATCGATGGCAAACTTGGTGAAGACACCCCAACTCACTCAGTACGAGCAAGTTGTTTTCACACATTACTGAATTTCAGAATGAACTGTAACGCACACTTCAATGATCGAGAAAGAACTCATGTTTCAATACCATATTTTACGGATCAAGTACAGTGTTATGAATGGACTTGGGTTACAGACTAGCTTCTCCAGGGAGACCCTTGTACCTTGCTAAGTTCATCGAAACCCGAAGCCTTATCGATCTTCGTTGCTTCGGCAGACATCTTTCGAACAGGGGCAAGAGAAACACTGCATTTGTGGCAGGTTAACTTTGAATATTGTCCAAAAAGTCATGTTTTTCAAATGTTCTTTACCTTTTTTTCATGGTTAAAAGTACTTGGGAAAGTAAACAAAATGGCAAGAACATTCATGTTTTCAAGAACACTGCAGAAACCTTCTGATTCTGCTCACAATTAATTCTTACTTCTCTTATAAGTACAGAATTGAGAAGACAAAGATGACACAATCATTGCCCTAAAAGTAGGTTTACACTGGATACTTTTTAAAAAGAATTTTATTTCCAAGGTTCTTTGAACTCCATGATGACAACCATAACTACATGGAAGGAAGTTAGCAATATTCCTTAGGTTATTAATCACTAGCTTATTTCAAATATTTTCTACAGATTTATACCTTTACAAAAAATTTGAGGTAGAGACAAGAAGTAATTAGGTGACTCAAAGTATCTTCACTTCATAACCTTCAACTAATCCTTGTACGGATGATGAACCTGAAGCGATACGATCTGATCTGAGATTCCCTCCCCTTTTTAACACCTTGCGTATCAGTATCAATACAACCGATTTGCTTCTCTCAACGACGCATCAACTGTTTCTCACACATCTCACATCTCTGAGATGCCAAAGCTTAACACTTCTTATCCTGAATTGGACTTTACGTTCAGTAATTACACTCAGAGTGGGAATGATGGCACTGTAAGGGTTTAAAAAAATGCAACTCGATCTCAGTATGATTTTCATGATGCACATGAAAACTCATATTTCAAAATAACCAGGTGCAATGTTGTTGCATGAATCACGTTACAATTCCCACTTCCCACGAAAACTGACAGTTACTCGGTTTGTTGGTAGTTGACAGATCCAGCCTCATTCTTAATATCTTTTGGTGATATTAAGCACTGGAAAGAAGGAACCATATGCAACCTTATCTTTTTCACCTTACAAACTTTTTATGACTAAACGTAACAAATGTCACACATTTACTCCAAGATTCAGCCTCATTCTATATCATTCAGCAAAGGAAACCAGGTACCTGGTGAAACTTGTAATCACCTTAGGGATTTGTCATGACCACATTAAGTTGTAAGAATTCTCTTTGTATACTTTGTGTTGAGCCAAATATTCATCTATTGCTATCTGTACCCAAATAGATACTAGGCCACAGATATACGTTGAATGAAAATCAAATTGTTTCCTTGGGCTAAAAAGATAAATAACAAACATTTGTCTGATGTCAGAATTCTGTGTGACTTCATGATTTTGTCTGGAGCTACTGTAAGACATACAGTAAATGCAAACATACACCTCTTGATGTTTTAGATTTATCAGATATATAAATATTGAACTTTGTTATCATTCTTTTAAAAGATCTCTTTGTCTTTCCTATATCATAATCTGAGTGCTCATCCCTGATTTGATAGCAGTGAACTTCTGTCCTTTTTTTTTTCTTCACTACCGGCATGTTGGAGTTCACTGCCCAGCCCAACAGGTGGCCAACCCATTGTTATTTTCTCTTTGACTCCACCATACAGGATATTATCATCATCAATTTCTATCTGCTTAGCTCATCTCCTCCTCAATAGCATCATAATCCTAAAAATAATTCCTGAATGATAATGCATGAAATAATAACTTTTTAACTGGTATTCCTGATGATATGAACAGTCATCAGATTACAAGAGCTAAAAATATAATTGCAACGAGCATATTATTTATCTCTTTTTTTACTCTCCATTAATACCTTTCTATACAGTTTTGACCGTAATACATTAACATATCTCACTGACTGATTGATACCTATGCTGATGTCATCATAATACGTTGTTGTCACACTACTTTTCAACCCATCTGCTTTTTTGCTTTGCTGTTGATCAGGTGTTGTTTTCATTCAGGAAACTGATGGTGCCATGTACGTGCTATGGATTCTCCAATCACTTTAATCACCACTAAAGTTTCACATACTATTGATAATTACTCTAATAAAAAGTTGTTTATGCACACAGGAGTCAAGGTCTGCAGAATAGAATGTTGGATATGATAAACAGTCCACAAACACTAAGTTTGAAGTCTGGAAACTCAATGTATTTGATGGGTTCTTTCTTTAGTCCAATCTGCTGCAGCCATATATATATATATATATAAATCATAATTCAATACTTGTGATATAGTTCCTTTCAATGGTGTGTTGTTCTTTGACTACTTCTTCTAAGTCTGCAAAAGATAGACACCATAACTGTATCAATGAACAGAAAATAAACATAACATCCATCATTATATTTGACTTCTAACAGTCCAATTATTCATAGAAATATGCCATTCTTTGACTTACCTATGTCCCGATTCATGAGCAACTGTAAACGCTAATCCCAGTCCTGTATCTTCATTAATAGTACAGCTCCGGTATTTACTGCACATTCCACCAATAGGTGCAAAGCCTGAAATGAGATATCAAAAAGAGGAAGAAAAACAATTTCAATTATATGTTAAGAAAATGGAACAAAGAAAAAGCAAGAGCACATAGGGACATAACCTTCCCTCTGTTTGTCCTTATATTTCCAGAATACACAACACAATTAAGATCCACCACTGGTATGGTAACCTCTTTTAACTTGTTGTCTACTGAATTCTCTCATTTTCAAAGGCTTCCAGTGGGCAAAGAGTTAAATGTGGCTAAGTGTATACACAAGAGACATATACAGTTACTTTGCTAGTATAAACAAAACCAACCACCCACATAGTATATACTAAGTCAATTTGTTGAGTCTTTGGCAACACTGTTCATAAATCTTAGAGTAATGAAGTAGTATATATGTATAGAGTAAGTCTACATCAGCAGTAGATCACTAGGACAGACCATTGGGTGCTATACTCCAAACACTTGGACAGTCAAACAAACCTTGACTTCTAAATAACCAGTATCATGTATTTGGACTTGTGTTGATTTTAGGACTGGAATTTCACCTCAAATACGAGTGCAAGTGACCCCATGTATGTATACATCAGGAGACTAATTGCCCATTATCACTTTCATTTCTTGTTGCTTATTGACACTTTGTGCTTGTGTCAGACAATTTTTTTTTAAATTAATGACTATGCATTGCATGATTATTCATTCTATCACGATCTTTACCTAGTGTATCACAGGGTTCATTTTTCCAGGAGCATATATCATTTCCGGTCAGCAGTATTGAGTGGTCATGATGGGTGCCATTGGGTGTGGTCAAGGTGGACTGCCACTGGCAGAAGCTGTTCAATGACCGGTCAGCATGGTGGGAGATGGTCAAGCCAGGCTGGAATTTAAAAAAAAAACAAGAGAAATATATGTTATGACATTTTTGAATCTCTATCTCTGACTCATATACAAGTATTTTTCAAGATCACAAAGTAAATCATTGAAATTGTCTTTCTCTCAATTCACTTTGCTTTAAATGGGAACCACAGAGGCAATAAAAAGCATGATTATCAAGAAAAAGTAATGTGCATGTAAAGACTAAGCCAACAATTATTCATATTTCTTTTGTATTGCATTTCCAAAGTACATATGTGCTTTTCTCTTCAACATACACATTCAGTTAAGAATTCATATATGTAGGTCGATATTTCATGATAATCATGTTTGATCAAAGGGAAAGTAAAACTCAAAGAGAAAACATATCAGTTGCAAACATACAAAGTACCCCAAAATATCAAATCCATTCTAGGTTACTGAATAAATGTTAGTAAACATAATAACAAGCCTAGACAAATTGAACAGGTGCTTCTTCCCCGAGTCAGATTTTATCAGATTTCCATAGGAAAGCAAAAAGCTCTGCAAGTTTCTATCGTTTTAGCAACAAGAAACCTTGAGCACATTAGAAGTTCTTTCCTGGACAGCCACTGTGGATGTGCATGTGTTTTCAATCTGCCGCAAACATTTCTCCAGCATACTGCTGCACATCAAGGCCTAAGAGCCAGAAAGACATTAACCCATCTCTTTATATTTACAGTTAACTCCCTTCTGGCTCTGACCAAATAAAAAAAAAGGTTCATCCTACGATTAAAAGCCTAATACAAGAATGAAGATGTCAATGATCTTACATAATAATTGTATTACTAGAACATCGTTTAGCCTTTTGTGAAGAATACTGAGATCAAATGGGCAGGGTGGAATGGTTTATAACAAATGCAACCCTACATGACTGGGTCAGGTGTCTTTTATAGACTACTGTAAAATTGTGATACATCTCCCTTTACCAAGCAACACTTTTTAAAAAACATTTTAATTGGTGGGGCTGGGTGGGGGCATCATAAAAATGACCTTCTTCTGAAGGGTTGATGAAGAAAAGGTTCCTTATTCCAAACTTCAGTACAAACATGTGTGTCAAAGTAAAACACCCAAAGAAAGGGAGTAAATTAGAATGCTTTTATTTACAAAACGAGGTAACACATCTTACTCTGTGATGAGGCACAAACCATTAACACCAATACAGCATCATCTTGAAGCTCTGGAAGCTCTCATGTCTTCCAGACATCAACACTTTCTCTTGTTTAACCCCTTGCCTGCGGGAACCGGGTGGCCCCTGTAATAAGCCTATGGGACTTTGACAATGCAGTGGTCATTGGGTTAATGGAATACCTAGGTACATGAACTTGAATGTTCTAAATGGACCAATTAAGGGCTGGAGCATATCATCTCATAATGCATTCTGTGTTTACTTCTCTCTGAAGGCTAGGGCAACCAGCCAGCCAGCCTGTAAATCTTGGGACAGCTAGCTCTCACCTACATGTATGTCTGATGCGGTTTCAGTATCTTGTCATCGAGGGTGACTCATCTTTGTTCATCCATGGTTCTTTTCTTTTCTTTTTCTTCTCACTTTCACAACAGCACCTCAAACCTCAATTCCCTCTCATATTCAAAGGGATAACAACACCCCCAAAAGACAGAGATTTTTTTTCAAGAGGAAGACAGTCCTGAAGACTTTCAACTAATCCACTCAACTAATCCACCCAGCACATTGCCTACTGATTTGTTTAACTCTATCTAACACTCTTTATAAATCTGAACATATATTAGCTTCCATGAGATACTGAGAAGCCCCAAAGTGGATTTCTTTTCATATGTCTTTGCAATTACGTTGAGAGGAGGAGGGGGTAGTAGAAGATAGTCTAGCACATCACCTATTGAAATGTGTAATCCATTACGTAACCCAAACGTAATTTTCTTAGTCAGTAGGCCGAGAAATTGAAATGGCCATTGAGGGGATTTCTTGAAGTCTTCACAATTGTGTTAAAAAGAGTGAAGGGATAGGAGAAGGGGGTAGAAGAAGAAAAGAAGAAGATAGTCTAGTACATTGCCTATTGAAAAGCGTAATCTTACGATTGCGTTTTTTTTAGAATCAGAACATAATTCTTATATGCAAAGCAAGAAGATTTGAAATGGTCTTAGTGTGGATTTCTTGGAGAACATCTTTGCAATCGTGTTTGGGAGAAAGAGTCGATGGAATTTAGCACACCTTCTATTCAAATCCCATATTGAATGTGTGATCCTTACCATCACTTCTTGTACACTGAAAACCTAATTTCAATTGGCGGTTTAATGAGATTTTGAAATGGTCATAAAGTGGATTTCTTGTCAAACACATTTGCAATTGTACTGAGATTAGGGAGGGGGAAGAAGATGGATTTGGAATGAAAAGGGGAAAGCTTAGTAGAGAGAGAGAGAGAGAGATAAAACTGTTCTTCTAAACTCTCTCTAAAAACTAACAACACAGAAAATTTATTCACTTTCATATACCTTAGTTGCACCACAAAACCTGACCGATATTTTGCCATAGACATAATGTAATATTTTTTGTGTGGTTTGGTTTGGTGTTGGTCTGGTGACAAAATGACAATTGTTGAAACTTGAAAAATACTTCTCAGAATTTGAATTATTCTCTCTTGGAAAAGCACACGCTATTTCCCTCCTTTCACCTGGTGTACACGCATCAAAAATGTTATATGTCTGACCACAGCATATTAGACTTCTACCCCTGTGGGTGCTGTCCCCTTTTTGTATGGTGTATCACCACAAGTTGCTCCTAATAGCAAGTAGGAATTCCTGGTGCGTTTAACATCAAAGAGCAATGTCATCTGTCATCACAGTCCTATGCTAATCAAAAATTCATCCTCAATAATATTCTGGTTTAAGTGAGTAATATACTCAACATATATTGCATAATCAAAATTTGCTCAGGTGATGACTGAATCAATTATACTTTTCACTTGAGGCTACATTGATTCCCCCTCCTTCCTCTCAATCGGAAGATATTGTAAATCTGTTTTAATATCTACTTAGATGACATATCTTTCCTTCAGGTGACTCTCTTGAGGAAATCTCTAGGCAATCCTGAGGCCATGCAATGATGGCCTTTGGTTCCTGGGGGCATCCCTGTTCGCTCCTGTCAGCCTCACCTGCAGCAGCCAGGGCTACATGGCATCATCACCCCGCATTCTGCTTCCTACCATGGACATTCTCCAATCAAAGACACATTCACAATACCCTGGAAACCAGCATCGCTCAGTCCTCACCCACTCACTCTGTCACGGCCAATTTGCTGGCCGAGCTGTCGCTTCCAGGCCTTTCTTAAATACCACAACTTTTTTAAAGCCCTATACTGCACTACTTATAACTATTTGCGCCCTCTATATAGCAATCAATGCCTAATCGGTGCCTGTTTGTCCCCCATAATCCCCTTTTTCTTTTGTTAACTGAGAGCTGATTTGATGAGATAACCACCTGTCAGTGACCTTGCAGGAAGGTCTAATCCCCCTGGCCAAACTAGTACAGACGCGTTTTAATGTACATAGTATAGAAGCTTGACTGTATGTGTTCCCCATGGTAGCTGCAAAAAGATTAGCTCAACTCTCTCTCTCTCTCTCTCTCTTATTATCAAGAAACTGTACATGTAATGGAAACCTTAAACCTGGGTTTCCTATTTGCCTTTGAATTTCATCATGTTTATCTCAAAATCTACTCTTTTTTTTTTTAAATGCCATACTCAATTTAGAGACCATTGCCATGTGTCATTCTTGTTCCATCTCCAGGCCAACGGAGGCCAAGAGAATTGGTCGTATATTGCAATTATACACAATGTGAAGAGATACAAATCTTTACTTCTTCAGGACTCATTTAGTTCAATATAAAATCACAGCATTGACAAAGACAGCTGCGTGACCAGATACCCTACAACAATGTCCTCAAAGTCCCCCTCCCCCATTATGATGATAACTACATAAAACTATTAACGCCAAGGAAGAGAAAAACTTTGTGAAAGGTTAGAGTCAACACACTATTTACTTCAAATAAAGCTGATAAAAAAATTGATTCAAATAAAGTCGATAAAGGTTGATTTATTGGTCATATGGCCCAACTCCAAACCCTGAGTTTTTGTCTGGTTGAAAATGTAATAGATTAGACGGATGATTCAATTTGTTTGCTGTGGCTTAGGACATACTGGTGTCGATTGTGTCTGCCGTAACCCAGACGATAGAATCATCTGTCATCCATCGCTCAGGGTGGGACCAGTGGAGTTGACGGGAGAGGTGGCTGGATGACATTCCAATATTCCATACAAACGAAGCTTTTCATGTGATGCTGCAACACCTGCAATCTCATTATCATTGACTGCCCCTCCCATATTCTCACCTTACCCCTCTTCTCTTTCTTTCATCCATCTCCTACGTTTTCTCTCATATTGCTGGTGTCTTGCCATGCCTCTCCTATTTTCACTTTGCCCCTGTTATCTCTTTCTTAACCCCCCCCCCCCTCCCTACCTTCCATTTTTCACAACTGGTATCTCTTCATGCCCCTCCTATTCTACTTTTGTCTCTTCCTTTCATCCATCTCCTTCTTTTTCTCACATCAGCAGTTTCCCCCTCCCCCCTCCTATTCTCACTTTGCCCCTTTCATCTCCTTCTTCTGGGGGGTGTTTCACAAAGACCCTAATTTGAACTTATCTCTAAGTTGGACTTAACAATTATGGAAAGCCATTAGCATCCTTAAAAATAATTTGTAAAAGTTATTTTAAAAGGCATCAAATGTTGATTCAAATCATTCATATTTTCTATTATCAAGAGAGATTTCATGTTCTTGATGTGGAATTTATGAAAAGTATAAAATACTTGAATCTTTGCTTTTGAATATATTTCAAAATAAGGCTACAAATGGCTCTCCATAATTTTTAAGTCCAACTTAGAGATAAGTTCAACTTAGGATCTTTGTGAAACACCCCCCTGGTCTCCTACCTTCCTATCTCCAAGTTTGTATACTTGTCTCCTGAACTTGTTCCATCAAACTATATTCTGACCTCTCTTTACCAGACAATACTTTTGTAAATCATCTGTTTGGATCCAGAAGGGCATTTCCTCTGTGTTACCGTAAACTATGATAGTTAACACCGTTCTGGCTCCTAACAGACCAAATATTCTTTACAAATGTATTATAATCCAGATCAATATACACTGGCTGCATACCCATCTCATTTTGACAATGAAGTATACTGAAATGTAGCTAATGATAAATAATATTAACTGACCTGACCAGGGTATTGCAATGAGAGTAAGTGTAACTAATTGCTCTGCAATTAGCCATATGATGATATTTGAAAAGACCTTTTTTGTAGGATGGAACACAAAAATATTTCCATTCACCTTTCAGCCAGAAAGTGATTTCATATTGCCACTGACCTGGACAAGGGTTCACTATCCGATAGGTCGTTAATAAATAGAAAGCCATATTTTCTCCTGCTAATTTGAACAATGCAATTCATGCTGTCAGATATGCCCTATGAAAAATGTTTACAAGATTTATGGATTAGTAGTACTGTGAAAAGGTTGCCAAATTACCCATTCAAACTTTGGAGAGGTTCTCCTTTAATAAAACCATATGGGGGTGGTGGAGGCATATCGTTGCTTATCTGAAAATGAATTCTCTCTGCATTTATCAAGCTTAAATATCTGGCTTTTGTTGCCTTTTGTAATAAGGAAAGAAAAGGACTATGAGGCAACATACCCTCCCAGAGGCTCTAAAAGGGTACAAATTTGTCCCCATCAATCAAAAAGTAATTCTTTGTAAAAATATTTATTTTTTATCTTAGATTTACATCTTTGGAGTGGGAAGATTTTCCCATTGGAATTTTTTTTTTGTATTTTTTATTTGTGATATATTTCAAATATGTTTCAGTCAATGAATGCAACTTATCAATGTTTAAATGGTTGGAATTTTAGGCATTCTGTAACAGCAATCACAATAGCATATGAAACTAGATTTTCAATGGAAAATGTAGCTACATCTTCCATGTTTAACTGTTAAAAGACTGCTTTTTCACTGAAAATTCAAAAATCTCTAAGGATATAAAATTGTGGAGCCTAAACAAACTGATTTATCCTCTGAATACCAATCATCTAATACATCCTATTCTGCAATAACTTTCGTCACATTATATCAAAGATGCAAAAGTGATAATTCCATCTGTCGACACATAATTCACATTGACATCACATTAGTTCTTGAATAATACATTTGAAACAAACAAAAGTGAAAGAGAATAGTTCACACATTCCCCCAAAGTAATATAGACGTTACATGCTATTGCTATTTCGTGGGAAGTATGATAGGGGTAGCGGACCGGAAGGATATCAAATTTTCTCAAATTTGAAAAAGACATACTCCAAAAATAAACCACATGGTCGCCTTAATGCTAGGTCCCACATGAAATGAGCAAACAATGGGGTTTAAAATTGAAATATCCAAAATAATGACATCAGGCGTTTACTCACATTTCCTTTTCTGTCACTGTGTGTACATTTTTGAAAATACGTCTCTACTGCTGTTTTTGTTGTTTGAACCAATCTGAACGAGCGCATTGAAACATGTTACTCAAGCAAACACATGGTACGTTAATTGATACAATAACCGGCTGTCAAAAATCTGATGTGTCGTGCAATCCTGGAAATCCATTGAGATCCAGCTAATGTATTGGATGTGCTTGTGTGGGCTTAGTTTTTGTTATCCTTTGGACTGCCCACTGTAAAGCTACTATTTGGCAAAACATTGAACACCAGAAACTTTTGTGCGTATGAAACTTTGAAGAATTTTGCGAGTAGTTCAATTCATGAAACGTTCATGTCCCTAAACTTGATAGCTTAAAGTGTGATTTATTATAATAATAATGAATACTTTTACAGCATCACGGTGCTCAATCAATTAAGTCACTCAATGATCAAACTGGCCCTAGCTGGGATGCCAATTTCAGCACTCACAGCATTCAAGGATTCCTGTCTTACCAGGTACTAATATGACACCTGGGTGGAGAGTGGCAAATAAAGATCCAGCCAAAGGTCATTAGTGCTGTGCTGAGGCTTGAACCAACGACCTTCACATCTCAAGTCAAGTGTTTGAACAAACCGACATGGCTTCACTTGACTTAAAACAGGCAGCCCAAAATTCAAAGAGGAACAATCTAAATCTTATGAGGGGAAAGTACCTTCTTCGTGAGAGGTGTTCAAGGGCTAAGATTGCAGAACCACCCTCATTGCTAATATTCCCCACTCCAAACAGATGAATGGACCATCTTGTTCCTGACCTTCAACTAACCTCAAGGGCATTGATGAGAATACCGTGCTACCTGCATGTATGTATACACAGCCTAGGAAAGCATTCAAGACATGTTGGTGTGCGATACCATACCACAGAAGTGCGTCATAGAACAACCAATTATGGCAAAAACACATTTTTTATCCTCTACAATGATTTGAGAAGCCAAGAACCAAATGGGAGGAAAACATTTAGACCTGGAGAGGAATATCACTGGAAGAGTGCACTAGAATGTTAGAGAACAGAGATGTGTTGAAAAATGTTGCAATCAACCTTTTAGCTGGGAGAATTAGGTACCAGGATAAATAACTCATAATTTGTTTATAAATGTTGATTGTAATAAATGAATATACTTTCAACTGATCTGTCTGTAGTTGACATGAATAGTAGGAGGATTGAGATACGTGTATAACTTGTTGTGCATTTATTGTATGTCATTTATTCTGTAGTCACTTTTAGAACTACAGTCTCGGGTCAAATTATGATCCACCTACACAGTCTTCTTTCAAAATACCAAAGAACTTCCATAAGCCCCAAGAAAAAAGTTCTTGGAATTTCTTTCTCATGTTGTTTTGAAAAATACCACAAAGATTTTGGTTTAAAGATGTGACCCTCAAATAGCTTCTTAAATGAGGGTGAACTGTTTTGCAAATTACAACCTTTCAACATTTTTCTTCGAAACTTCTAGTGATATTATCTTTATCATGAGTACAATAACGACTGTTTGGAGCCATAGGGCAATTATGTTGTGCAGAGTTAACACCCCTGTGACTCCAAACAGATGATGTACAAAGAGACTGATGACCATTAAACCAGTCAAACTATCACATTGCCTTGAGCAATCAGGAACATTTTGGACAAATTAGAATGATACAAGCCTTTCAGTTCTTCTTGGAGCCCTGAGAGGCAAATTCAATTGAACGAGTTGATAGATCCCCAAATAAGAGACCCCAATTGCTTTGAAAAGCTAACAAGGGTGATGGTATCTCTGAAGAGCAAGAAGGATGTTACCTCTTTATTACAGTATATGAGTTAACACCCTTCTGGCTCTCAGCAGAGGGTAAGCTGTTATAGATACAGCCATGTTGGAATGAAACTGAAACTAACAGCATCAGAGGCAGGTGGGTTAAAGTGTAGAGAAATTCAATTACATTTGATTTACCAAATGTACCTGTATATCGTTAAGAGAAGAGAGCATACAATTGGCCTTCAAATACTCTCGCTGCATGAAAGTCTGAAAGAAACATCATGTTCAAGGACTTGTGTTTAACATATGTATCAAGAACTGATATAGTGTACAAAATGAAGGCAAATGTGATGTCCTAAAATTCAGAGGAATGTTTACTTAATTTGTTAGGGATCTGAGTTAGATCCTGCATGGAACCAGAGTTGTGCTTCAATATTCCTCCTGTAAATATAAGGCACAACAAACTTATTTGTTCCAAGTCTAATTGGTTATACAAATGAGCATTTGAGGGTAGGTCTAGATAGCTTATATTATGGAACACTTTTAAAAGTTTTCAGTCCAACTAGTCCTCGTGTCACATTGCTTCTACATCCTATTGAAGTCTTACAGGGCTGTACTTCCAATCCAATGTAGTTCCAATCAGATGTAGGACCAATCCTGCATAGGACCAGAGGCAAGACCAATGGCACATAGGACCAGAGGCAAGACCGAGGTACACATAGGACCAGAAACACACAGGACCAATCCTTCATAGAACCATAGAGAATGAACTTGAACTCACCTGATCATCTTCCAGGAGCATTAGACTCACAAGCATCATGTTGATGGTGTGACCAAGAGATGAATCACGAAATAATTTTGCAACCTGGACATGGGAAAAAGAAAAAAAAACTTTGGTGTTTATGACAACAACAAAAAAATTTTAACTCGTAACTTTGAGAGGTAATAATGTTCAATTTTAAACAATTTTCATATTGTAAAAGGATAGTTTTCAAAGGATGGTTTATACATAAAGGATGTTACAGACATTGAAAGCTTTCATGTCATGTAAAACATGTGATTTTAGGGAAAACCTTTTTCTTCTTCTTCTTTAAAGTGAATTATGTATCACCAATTTTAAAAAGAAAACGGCCGGAAGCCAAGTGCCAGCTTCATCAAGACACCTCTTCATTACCAATCATCCACAACAAACTATGATCGGACTTGATGTCGAATATCAACTTCTTGTGTCTTAAATTGGAAGTTTTTTTAGAATTTAAATGCAGCCCATAAACATTATCAGGAATGTGTTTTTGTCATCAGCCAAGTTGAAAAGCACTTTTTAAATACATTTATTTATGATTTCATCTCCCTATTAAGTCTTGATCCATTAAAACCCAGAAATGCTGGCAATCTGGCTCTCAAAATTAGCAACAGGTTTCACCTAATCTCTCAAACTATCTGGGGAGAGGCCAATTGTTGAAAACAAACAAGCTCAACAGAGAAATAAAAATCAATTTTCATCTCACTGCACGTGTAATAAATCTACTTCCACTTAAGTCTCCATTTCATACTCGGAAGAACCGGCATATTGGTCCAATTCCGTGTTTAGAAACAAACAATATCCTACCAAATCCTTTTGATTTATACTTCAAGAATACAAAAACAGGACACACACTGCGGAATAAATATTAAGAAACTGCCCATTCAATTTCCTTTCTCTTGATCATAACCTAGTAATTCGTATCAGATTAGCTACAATCAATTCAGCATGTTGAAGGAGTGGATTTTCCAATATTGCAGTCATTCAACATCCACTTAATTGACAACTGCCCGCTTTCCGCTTTCCGGAGCGAGCGAGCGCTAAAAGTTTTTACCACTGGTCAATAAAGAAGCTAAAAACTTCTGCATTCCATTCTAAAAAAAAAGTGCTATTGTTGACCATGAATAAGTGAATGAAATAGAAATATGTCAGCGTTGTTGCTTTGCTGGGTTGAATTAATTCATCTTTGTCCATGCTCAAATTTGTTGAGTGGTATAAGTTGGACAAATGATTTGATGAAAGCTGCTCGAGGAAGCAGTTGACAGCCAATATTGCAAATGAAAGAAATTGATTTGGTGGGCTGTAAAGAAGCGATCACTGACAACCTTGAATTTACTTTCAAGGACTTTTATCAATTGTCGCCAATTTGTTGAACAATTATTGCATCTACTACTACACATCAAATAACTTCAAATTGATAACTTATCCAATATCTTGTTAATTCTCTTACGGGGGATTTCTTTCAATTTCTAATTAAGATCTTCAACAGATTTCCAAATACAATAACTTTGAAATGGGCCATTTGTAATATCACCATTTGTTAAATTACACCTTGAACACTTGTATACTCCTAAGCTTTGCACCGTTTTTCTAAATCCCTAACCCCATAAACCAATCCCATCAATAGTCAATGAAAACTAAATGGCTCGATAGAAATTACCTCAGGTACTAAAAAGGCATAACTAAAGTAAAATGCAAAGAATTACTCATTACATCAAAGAATGCCGATATTAGCACTTCCCCCCATCCCCTTCCCCACATAATCATTCTAAATTTGCAACTAGATCAATTGAGCACTTCTACTCAATGTCTACACGGGAAACCCATTTCATAAAACAATTTAAAACAAGAATACCGAGGTACTTTTGCCCTGAATACACACAAATTTCATGAGAGGTGAAATATTTCTTTTTTATCCAATTTGACAGTTGTTGAATTCCCATTCTTCCTCCCTAATATTCCTAATCCTCTCACAATAGCAGCTTCAATTGTGCCCTAATGCATATGAAAATTTATCAATACAAGAAAAATGACACATCACAGGAGAAGAAGAAAAAATCACAGTTGCTCTCGGGGTTATTTACCCTTCTCTCATCAAAGGAGAGTGTGGGGGAAAGAAACTAGAACTTTGGTCCATTTACATTGCAGAAAAAACAATTTGAAAAACCATCAATTTTTATTTATTTTGGAACTACCAGCACTACTGGAGAAACCCATACAAATTGTCCATGTTTGCTTATTCTGTCTTTGTTTTATGTTTTGTTTTTAATGATTTTTTGTGTGTGTGAGTTGTGCCCGTGAGTGAGTGTGCATTCGTTAGCACAGAAGTGAGGAGAGTCGCGTGACCAAAAGGCGGAATAGTTAATCGGTGTTTAGAGAGTGAGCATGTACACTGGTTAAAAAAAGACATTGAATTTTCAGCCGACATTAAAAAACAACATAATTTCAGAGGTGGGTCTTTTTCGATTTAGATATTTCATCATGTTTAGGGGCAGTTGCCTAGCAACTTCAAACAAAATTCCGGAAAATTGAAAAAAAAAACGTACAGTTTTAGCATGCAGTGTAAATGCAGCTCTTGTCAATATAAGATTCATAACAGAAATGCCCTTGATCAAAAGTTCACAGCATTTACGCCAATGAGATCATTGGATGGAAACTAGGCCACTTGTTTCCATCGATTCCCAAGGCGCTAAGACCTTCCCCCAGTCCCGACTTATTACATTTTACTATTAGGGCTTGTACTGGTAATGTTGGATACCCCCAAATTGGTTGGCGATATGAAAAAAAAGGTGGAATTTGGGGTCGTTGTTTGAGGGTTCATGTTGCAGTTCCAGATGAAAGTCTGTTTAAATGTGCATGAAAACTGTGATGAACACTTGTTATGAATTATTTTAACACATATTTTTTATAAATAAATTATGAAAACTAAAAACTGCCATAAAAACTTGCTGTTTTGAACCTCATATTTTTAAATCATACAAATCAATCTTTCTGCTGGCATTATTATGTCAGACATTTCATTTGCCAGCTCATTGAAATGTGGGAGGGGCAGGCTAAAAAAAAGTATTGACAAATTTTATATAAGATAGGTTTATTCATTTTTTCATATAAAAAGTAGAGTATCAAATCAGCTATTAAAAGGATCTATTAACCACCTACAATAAAAAGCAAAATGAATATCCCTCAAATCTTAAAAACACACCTACAAAACTTCATTTATATGGATAGGAAGTTTACATTTTGATCATACATACCATGTTAAATATTGTGAGAACATATGCTGTGATTTTATCACTTCCATGTTTCTTGATCATATGTTTATCCACAACGACCAGTGTCTCGACATATTGACTCCTGTGAACATTCCCTGCTATTGAACGGCGTTTTCTGGTTTGTATTGAGGATCCGTTCGCATCAGGATATTCATCCAGGAAAAAGACTGGTTCTTCAGGAGGGTGTGGTTGAACTGTTTAAGTGAAAAGAAAGATTAAAAAAAATAGATTAGATATAAATTTAGTCTATTAATTGCAAAATTGATTGATAAATTCAACAAAACGATTGATCTCAATGGAGAAGTAACAAAAATCATTTCAAAATGTTACACATATAGGTTGAACATGCCAAAAGAACGTTGACAAGATGTCCTTTTTTTGCAGAGGCATTGGAGAATTGTATGGTAGGTGCAGTTACCCAAAGCAGAAAGAACAAAATATTGTGCAGGCTGCCTCTATATTTTTCCATGCAAATATTAAAAGGTTGACTCCTAATTGGTTGTCTTTACAGGATATGGTTACGGTACTCCAATTGTTCTAGCCCCTGTTTGAAACATTTAGTACATTATCGTTTGATTCTAAACCTAGAATTCATAACAATTTAACTTAGAATGAATCAAGAAGGAAACGGATTACAATTCAGTACGTTTTACTGTTTATAATGTATATCATTTGAAGTTTTTTTTAAACACTACACGTTGGGATATTTTTGTGTTGACTATATGAGGTTTTCTTCTCCTGCTGTCAGCCACATATTGTTCCAAGAGATTTCCTGAATTAGGATTCCATCCTCCCACCCACACCGGTTATTTCCGTCCTTCATCGTATGGATGTTGATGGAGGCATAGAAAATATTACCATCTGTAAACAGCGCTACAGTGACAAAGGGAAGGAAGTGTTTGTATGAATGAATAAAAGCTCTTCCATTTCTGACAAATGTCAATGGGATGAGAAATTTGAACAGTACTGAAATGACTTTCAAGAAAATAAATCTCCTGCCATTTGGATAGCCTAGAGCATAGGCTATTGCAATGTGTCGTCCATATGATAACCTCTTATATAATCCAAACATATTTTCTATAGGCAATACGAGTCAATTTTGATATAGCCCTAGTTTAGAATTCTTGAAATCCTTTACAAATGTGTTCATGCAAAAGTCATATTCTGTGATAGATCTCCTACATGTTAGATGTGCAATTAGGAAAGAAGTTTTTTTAATGGCAGAGCTTATTTTTTCAAATAGAAAACAATTTTTTTTCTTACTGCTATACATATATTCATCTCTTTAAACTACATTTACTGAAGATAACATACGGTACTAGACATTGCTTCTGCAGTACATAAGAAATTAAATCATCTTGACTTTCTATTCGTGCAAGGAAAACATAGAACTGGATATATTTTCGAGGGGTTTCGAGGGGTTCGCATTCACGTTCATTTCCTGAAATGATTCGATTCAGACAATTGGAAACAAATGTTTAGGAAAAAGATGAGAGTGCAGGCTTCAGATAAACTTTCTCAGGGGGTTGCAGTAGTACCCCTTAGTCTACGAATCAAATCCGTTCCTATTAGCATCATGCTACAGGTTTATCCCATGGTGTCATTCGAAGATAAGTAAAATGTGTTTTATTTCCAACAAAATATAACCTTGCATCTCTTCAAATCGGTTTTGATTGTCAAAAGAAATGTCATGCACGATTTTAGCATTAATGGATGCAATGGTTAATATAGAACATACAATGTGGTCAGTTGGGTAAACTAGGTAAAAAAAATGATAAATCAAAATAGATTGTTTATGAAGAAGAATGGTGGAGATTCAACTATGTGAACAAAATCTGCAATAAAGTTCATTACTCATTTTTTAAATACGGTTAAGAACAAGATTTAAAAATTGATCATAAAAATGACTGTTTATTCAATAAATAGGGTGTCCCCTGAGATTATAAGATACAATTTTCAAATATTCACAGTAGCAAGATAGTTCAATACTTTGAAAGTACTAGATTAAGTTGATTTATCACAGAAATGTAAACACATTTTTCTAATCCACAAGAGATATCGATAAAATCTTGCAATTAAATGAGTAAAAGGAAATGATTGAGATAATGCAATAACTTGATACGATGTAATTCCACATTTATGTAGTTAACATGAAGATTTACTATAATTACAACATTCCCTTTATATACCAAATGTGATTTGAGGATAACAGGGTTAATTGAGCGCAGTAGGAAACTCATGCCCTGCACTTCACACCCTATTCATTATCGAAAACACATTTACTTGTCAAATGGTCTCAATAATAAATCAAGACCAGAAAGCTGTAATGTCTGATTTGATTTGGTGGGTGATGTCAAAATGGGGGTAATTGCCCCCCCCCCCCCCCAAATAGCTTGTGGATAGTCAGCTCATAACACAAAATGACAATATGACATTATCTCTCTCTCTCTCTCTCTCTCTCTCATCTAACTCTCTTTCTATTCTGTTGTATCTGCAACCTCCCCCCCCCCCCCCCCTTTCCCCCTCTCTCTCTCTCTCTCTCGCTCTCTCTCTCTCTCTCTCTCTCTCTCTCTCTCTCTTCCATTCCATTCCATTCTATTCTATATCTTTCTTCTATCTATTCTTTTTATTCTATCATATATCCCTCTATTTTAATTCAGGCCTCCAAAACATAGAAAACAATACTCATGTTCCTCTATAACTGTTAACAGTTGTTCTTTCTGATAAAAATCGTTAAAAAATCATCTGGGAGAATAACTGTTGAAAAGGGTGCCCCTACTCTTTCACAAAGGGAGGGGGCACCCCCATGTGCTTTTGATACATGACAGATCTACCCACCTTAAAAATCCTTCCAGTACAATGGGGGAAAAGCCCTCCGAGACATGTGAATTGTATAATCTTCCCTACCAATCTCAATACCAAGTGCATCGACGATACGAAGAACTATCATTTCTACTTTCTTTGCATCCCACTCAACTAAAATATTGGAACCATCCATATTATCTGATCTTCCAGAGCAGGTTGAATGCACTACGCGCAGTCTCATCTGGATTTTGACATCACATTGTACCTAGGACCTTGACACACAGGGAACCTGACCAACCTGAAGAGCGAAACGAAACCCACGCTGTCTCCCATCCTTCCTTCGTAAACCAAACCTTTTTTTTTCTTCTCGTCTTTCAATTACATCCTTTCTTGCCTTCATAACTTGCTCCAAATTTCCCCTTGAGTTCATCATGATTGAGCATGTAATAAATGTAATGTACATAGACCCCATTATCCTTCATCATTGTACATCAATCATCACAAATATATATCCGGCAAATAAACCTTAAGAACTAAAATCAAACAAATTTCTTCAGAAACATTTAGAGCCAGAAGGGCATTTTGGCTCTGAACAGATGATAAGATTACACATCAGATTGTCATTATGTAGACCTTTGATAGAATAATAGAAACTTTACCATTTAAACTTTTTTTAAAGATCTTAAAATATTGAATAGGTTTATATATTCTACACTTATGTAGTCACACACTAGGTTAGGGGAACCAAGACCAGGAGGACAACTTTTGATTGCATTCATTTACTTTAAATCCATAAAATTTTGCTTGAAATGTTCATGATTTTTGTGAATGGTTCATATTTGTGAAAGTTTCATGGAGCAAATAAATGAATCACAATCTAAAAAACTACAGAATCTTTGTAATTCATAAAAGCTTCTTGCTGTGAAAATGATCTTCCTTAAAAATTTGTGAAAATGCCTGGATTTACAACAGTATCAGTTCTTGATGTCCAGACCATGATCAAAAAATAAATGCAAGACAGGGTTCGTTACTTTATCTGAACAACAAACTTTTTTATCATCTGTTCCATTTAACCCTTACACAATACCAAGTCTGGATGATAGACCACTGGTCTAGAAGTAGCAAGTGTTTCTGAATGACAAACATCACTACCAATAACAATAAAATGGCACTCTAAATTGGAATGGAACATTTGGGAATAGAGGTCAAGAACAAATTCAAAGCCGAGAGATATATCAGTACAAATTTCTTATATTTCTATAATCATAGTTTTTTTTTCCCACAAAAGAGAAGGTTTCTCTGAAAGCTATATATCTGCTGACACATGAGTTTTATGGTAACAGCCTCCAAACAGTCAAAAAATTAAATGAATGTGACAAATTGCTTTCTATATTAAATCATAGTTTTTTTCTTTTAAAAAAAGAGAAGGTTTCTCTGAATGCTGTATATCTGCTGACACTTGAGTTTATGGTAACAGCCTTCCAACAGTCACAAAAATTTAAATAAATGTGACAAATTATATTCTTGTGATCTTTCTTCTTATTTCTTATCAAAAGCAAATGATAAGATGACAATAATTATGCTAATATCAGTATGAAAAATAAGATAAATCAACAATGAAGGCCTGTTAAAAATAAGTCTACACACAATTTTGTTTCAAAGCTTTCCTTAATTTAGGTTTAGTTTAGTTAGTTTCATGAAAATTACAAAAGTTACAGTCAGGGTTTAGCTCTGGTAGAAATTGTGAATTGTCTTCATTTAGCATCACACCTGCAATGCAATAAGCTAGGAATACACTTTCAGGGAGTCAAAGAAAATAATTCTGTCACTGGACAAAGAATCAGATATTTTGATAGGGTCCATACACATGAATTCTACACAAAGGCCACCATTTCATTCATAGAGCTCATTATATGAATATCAATTCAAATACCGCTTGACGTCATAATGGCTGAATAAAGATGAATTGCATCCTTCCTTTCTGTTATACAGATTGTTTGGTAAAGCAATTAGGAGGGTCATATCTACCCTTATGAATATACCATTACCACTTCGGTGGGCAACCATTTCAACCAGCATTCTTTTATCACAAAGTTATGGTGACAGGCGGGGTCAGAATCAATACAGATGTAGAAATCATTTCACTAGGTTAATATACGTTTGATGACAATATTAATTTTCAATTTACTTTCAATTTACAAGTAAGTTATGTGAGATTTCAGCTATTTCAAAACATGCGTGTCCCTTGTAAGATGAAGAAAACGTATTGTGCAACTTTGATGATAGAGATTAGTCATATAATTATTGTTTTTAGTTGATGGAGTTTTAAAAGTTTAAACCCATTCCCTACTGGAACCAACAGGGGGGGGGGGTCATGTATTAAAACTAT